TATTTGCCACTTCGATATATCTGAAATTCAGTTCCACATTCCACTCATCATTTTTCACTTTGTAAATCTGCTGCTTTGAAAACACACCAGCTCTCAATGAGATTCGATACTGCATAAAAACCTCGCAGGACATTACTGTCTTTCAGTGAGACATTTCAGTGCTGACCTTATTCATTCTATTGCGTTTTCTTGAAGTCAAACCGCAAAAATCATCAAATTTATATTGTAGAAGTGAATTTTTTTAAATCACAAATTTTCATACTTGTGTGCAATTTCTTTTTCAATTTCCCAATCATACCAAACGAAACTGGCCGTGAGCCCTTCTTTGCACATACGATCTGTCAGTGTTGTTGCCTGTAAAAGTATCCATTAACTTTGATTAACTTCGTATCTGATGGAATATTTCAACAAAAAAGAAAAACAAATTAATCTAAATAATCGAAATTTTCCACAGAGCAAACACCGTATCTCAGGTACCAAATTCTGAAAAAAAAGAGAGAAGAATAAAAATTTTCAATTAGTACAAATGCAATATAAACGGAATTTGTTGAAAAAATAAATGAAGAAGGCAAAATCATTAGCATAAAACAGATGAAAAAATACCAAATGTTTGTAAGCCGATAAAATTGGCACAAATTGGTCGTCGCTATTTTTCGTCCCACCAAAATTATACAACGAATGAACGAATAACGGTCGACGAAACAATTCTCCTCTCTGAATTTCTGTTTTCTTTTAGCGAACCAATAATCAAAAATGAAACAGCATACAATATCACCGCCAAGTAATTTATTCTTTTTGATTTATTGTTGAATAATTCTTCTATACTTAAGCCACATCCCTTGAATAATTCCTTCTTTTGAGTAGCTGAGCATTGAGAATTATTTATTGAGTAGAGAATAATTTATTCTCTTAAGCACCCTAGTTTTGGCTCTTTATAAGTCGTCGAATTTACACTGCCATCAAATTGCTCATTCGCTTTCAAATGTAAACTATTGAAACGATGAACTTATGAAATCGATCACCTTCAGCTTCAATTCCTTCTGTTTTCGTGCACCTTTACCAATGATACCACAATTTGCGATCTCCAGCGGATTCCGTCCACCAATCGGCATTCGTCGTAAACGTTGCAGAAGAGATTCGGACGCAATCTCGTCGTTCATATACTCTTTGAATGCCTCCCCAAGACATCCAGCTATGTTCGGGTCCAACGAGTTCATCACATTCTTCTCCTTCTCCTTCTCGTACGAATACTTCGACGCTGCACCGAACAATTCAACAACTCTCTGCAATTTCAATAACGTCACAAAATTAATAAATGATGCAATTCGCTTGTTTTCAAAAAAAAAAAAAACGGTTAACGGATAACGTTGGCATATGCTTTATCTACTGTTGAGTGAGTTTATTATTATTGTCACATCGTTCGAATGTGCAAACAAATAAGCACAAATATCGATGAATTCAGTTGATCAGCGAACTAAACGAATGCAAGCAACTCTTTACAATACACCTTTCAATATTAATGTATCAAAAATTCATGCGAGTGCAATCACTGTCGACATCTGCCGATTGAAATTCATACTGAATATCAACTGCTCAGCCACTCATTTTCAGCAAATAATCTGAGTGAACACTCCAAAAAAAAAAAAGAACTGAAACAAAACTAAAAGAAAACGTCAAATATTCACGAACTAACCGCAAGTGCTTCATCCATAAAATGTGTCATAAACTGTTTCCGTACATAAAATGGTTGTGAATCAAGAAACTGTGATACCAAAGCACAACTCGAGAAATACAACGCAGGTGCCAGTGGTCGATCGTCTATAAATTATTTCATTATTCCCAATCTATCAGTTTCTCGTCTAAGTTCATTCGATTCCAAGTGAAATCAATGCAATGCCATGATCTCCTCTCCCTCTCGATTCATTAACAATTTATGCCTGACTGATTCTTTGTTTGCTCACACATCGATGCAGCGTTATTAATTCATTTGATCAGTTATGTGCCCAAACGAATTCAAAACACAAACCTTTCGCAACATTTCGCAGAAGTAGAATGAGCAATGAGGCAAACTGAGCACAGATTTTGTACGCGTATTTTGGTTTGAGAATTGGTGGAGGTTCGATGGAATGAGTGAATTGAATGAACGTCTTCATCAGAGTGGCAATCATGCTGTCTCGCTCCCTTTCATTCTGAAATGGAACAATTTATAATCCGGACACGTGGAAACAGCCTCATTTTCAGTAACAACAAACAAAAGGTTTCGGGAGCCGAAACGAAACACTCATTTCCGGAATACTCTTTAGAGAGAGTCCATCCAGCATATGAACGCTCTCGGGTGGTTGGATTTGCAAAAACTGCAAAACTGAACTTTTAACAAACAAACATTTACAAAATTTGATAAAAATGAGTTATCTCGCTTCAAATATTCAAAAAATTCAGAATGACAGATTTAAAAATGAGATAAAAATCGCTTCGATTCACGCACCTCAATTGTTTTATCATTCTCTATACGAACCAATTCGCTGCTTGTCCACTTCAGCACATAAACCATTAATTGTCCATAATGCTTTGTCATTTCGAATCTTCAAAAAACAAATTCACATCAGCAATTCAAAGGTTCCTCACCAATAAAATCAGAGATAAGTCCATTGCTTCAAAACGACCTAATTGGTGAATCTCGTTCAATGAAACATTCATTAGAATGTTCGTAAGATGATTGAAAAAAGAATTGCTGTAAAAAGCACATCCAACGAATCTTCAAAAAATTCCAAACAGTATGAAATTTTTACCGAAGGAATGCAATGGGATGGCTCTCGTGAGCTGTTTTCTGCCATTCGTTCAGTGTCAACAAATTGTGCAGCCATCCTACATTCGCGCTATTGTCCGTATCGTTTGTTTCCATCGCTGATCCCGAAACACCTAAAAACACATCGAATGAACAAAATGAACACAAAAATAAACAAACGAATAAGCAATTCAGCATAAAATATACACATTTCCACATACAAATGTTTAACAAAAGTACTAACCTTCAGCAATTTGCCGTCGAGTTGCGATATTCCTGTTTTCGAATTCGAGAATGTTTCGAAGGCGAATCAGACTTGTTATACCTTGTCTCGGTGAATTCGGCATTATATGCTCTGTTGCAATCAACAGTGCACACAGAGCAGTTAACTGAAACCGAGAAATGATTAATTCACTTCTATGGCGGAAAATCTTCGTTGAACCTCCGACTTTCTTCCAGAACAAATTGTTGCAGATAATAAATGTGCATATCGCATTTTAAAACAATTATTGATGCTTATTTACCGACAAATTAATGAATCTCAAATCATGACCTCAGTTTTCATACTGAACTTCAGTTCATAATCTTTTGAGAACATAAGCATTATTACACACTATTTTCAACGTATGACAATGCCTGTAACTCGATTTAAATTTGAACATATTTTGGATTTATGATGTTTTCACGTACTTGTTGAGAGTCTCTGGCTTCCATGATGAATCTCGCTATTACTTCGGCTGTTTTCAGTGGACCGGTTACGACACAAAACGCATTCAAGAACTTTATACTGAATTTCCCTCTGAAACTATCAATGCGGTTTATTTGAAGGAACTATTCTTCAGATTTCAAATCATTTGCACAAATTTTTTTAATGGTACGGACTAGGTCGTTCAATTATGAGAAAAACTTCAAAGATGATCGGAAAGCAAAATAATTCTCAGCAACCAAAAGTAAACCCATCCGAACTATCAGAAGATCACGCACCTCTCACCACTACACATCGCTCCGCTAATATATTCCCTCAACTTGGTTGAATTCAACACACACTGTCCTATTGAATCCCTTTCGCTCATTACGAACAACGCTTGACTATGAACCGATGAGGTGATAATCGAAAGGATTTCATCCTGAAACATATTCACAACAATGCCCATAATCAAAGCATATCAACCAGTATATAATAAGCAATGCACTGTGTACATATAATCAACGAGCATGTCCAAATATTGAAGAATCTGAACGAAGCAATCGACATTTGAATAACATTCCACTTACAATAATCTCAATCGCTCCGCTCTTTATCGCCATTGCCCATGGTTGATGTAATTCTGCAAACACAAACAATTCCCTCTAACAGTAAATTCTCTTTAAATATTTCATCTTTACAAAATCAAATTTCAACATTCAAAAAAATTCAAAATTTTGCCAATTTCAAATATTGCCCTGCAAATATTCAAATATTTGTCGGACAGAAATTTCATATAAATGCCCTTAAATATGAGACAACAGTTACAAAAACAAAAGCAAATGAAAGCAAACGAATCAAACGAATACACAGTCACTAACGTTGCAATGCAGATTCGTCAAAAGCGAGCGGAATGGATGCATCGAGCACAGTCGCGATATTCTCACCACTCATGAAGCACAAGAACTGTTTAAGTATTGTCGAGTAGGTATGTGAAAAACCAGCCACCATCGGCACCATGCAGTCGAGATTGATTTGCAGCAACTGCACACACGCTTTCACGATCACTCGTCTTTTCACTCAAATCAAAAACATCTCCATTATAGCTAAATGATGTGGTACCCGGTCACTCTGCCTAAAGTCATTTAGCCTAACGACAGTTTGTCCAAAGACACATTGCCCAACAGATAGTTTGCCTATTAGGCGAAATATCCATTAAAAAACCATAAGTTAGGCAAAATGTCCGTTAGGCAATGTGTTTTTAGGCAAACTGTCGTTAGGCTAAATGTCTTCAGGCAGACTGACCGGTCACGAAATGATGTTAGTACTCATAAAGCACGTAGAAACTACGAACACACAAATTGCCCAAATCGATTTACATTGAAATCAACGTGCGATTCCGTGCTCTTCCAAACTTTCAAACTAACTATGAAAAAGCATTGCTCTAATAGGCACACCACTGGAGTAATTCAACTCATATAAACCGAGTGTAACATCTAAAATCATTACATAATTCTAGACATTACATCATCATCATCAAATTGTTCTGATTACTGATTACAAGAACTGCTGGAGCGCCTACCTAAGTTTGAACTGAGACGTGGAAGAAGAAATCCCAGGAATTCACTCGATGCTGCGAGCAGTTTGAAGATAAATGGAATCGAGAGATCTGTTTCGCTTGTTATCGCCATATCGGATGAACTGTCCAGCAATTCGATTCCTTTCTGAAACGCGAGTATCACAAACGAATTCAATCCTCAAATCAAAACGGCTCTACTTCTTAGCTTCGATAGCTACAACATACGCGAACATTTTCGCTTCTTGAAGTCGACAGCCAATGAGATGCTAGGCAAATGATACTCGGGGGCACCCATATTAAGAGTAATAATAACAAACAACACTAACGATGAGCATATCACGAACAACGCATCTCAACTCAGGACGACGTTTCGATGCCAAATACGCGAACGTTTCACACGACGTCGTAAATTTCCGTTTGTAGATCTGATGCGTTTCAAACAGTGCTGCCGGATTACTCTGAAAATTTTCCTTAAAAACGCGATTCCATGTTTCTACACAATCGATTCGGCATTCAACCGCTATCTGCATGTGTTTAACGTCGTCGTCAGCAAATCCGTAAAGTTTATAATTCATCGTGCACAATATCATCGACTGAACAAGAGAGCCACTTACATGAAATCGTGATTCAAAAATTATGTTATTCACACCAGAAACTTACTTGTTGTTCAAGTGTTGCAATCGTTGCAATATACTGCTTAAACTGTTCAGCACCCAAATTCAACAGGAACGTCATAATCGGCACAGGAAATGACCATCTGCAAATGTTGTATGCACATACATAACAGATGACGCTATCACCACAAGAAACTTCCAAACAACAATACGAATAAACTTACGCCAAATGAAGCCAAACCCAATCGAAACAGAATCCATGCATTGAAGCGTCCACCAGTGTATGGAAACACTCTTCTGGTGCACCATCCAAACTAAAACAATCCCCTTTACAAACCTTACACTCTGACATTCACCAACCAGGAATACTATGCTCCTATCCTCAATTTCTCAATTCTCAGTTCAAGTTCCCCCTTGAAGATGAGTTCAAACATAAGATAAGTACTGCATTCATAAAAGTACCCTAGTGAAGCTGGAATATCCCATCAGAGAATGCCATGAACATAGGTCAATCTATGCCGTATATATGAGTGGATATAAAAGACAGTGTTGGTTGCATAGCGAAATGCGTAATGTTGTGCAAGTCATCCCATTTGCAGATTCCTATCCTAACTAGTTAGTTACTTGCTGACATGTTTGAAACCTAAGAACGATCAGTGAATCTGGAGATCAATCAGGGTCGTTTAAAACACAGAGTATGATGTGACAAGAAAATGATAACCGAATGCTGAATATTACACTTACAGAATCGCAACAGCTTTATCGAACAATTTCAAAATACCCGCAACAGATGGTGACGATTCAAAGAGATGGAGTAGATTTCGTGGTGCTACACCAGTTTGCTGCGCCAACGGTCTTTCATAATTACACTGACAAATTTCCGCAAGAAGTGAACACAGATACTGCAATCATGATTTTACAAATTCGATTCGTTTGTATAACTTCAGTTCTTTTTCTCTTTCCTCATGTAGCATTTTTTTATCTAAAATTAGGCTAGCTGTCACCAACTACCTCATCAAAATAAGTTCCAATTTCCTCACCAACAGAAAGAATTTTCTTCAAACTGACTCATCTTAAGCCTGAGTCATTTCCTGAATGAAAATGTTCGATAAGTTCACTCAAATGTTGCCCGTAGTATCAGCTCTTTGAATGTTGCAAAACTACAAAGGTAAATGACTTGTAGTGATATCAGGATGTAATCTGTTTCCAATACCTTCAGAACGTGTGATGCTAAAACTTTTTGTTCAGTGGACGACAGAAGTCCTTCGAAGTTCGTCGACAGCCTGCGAACAGCTCTTTCGACACTACCCGAATCACTTCCTGGAACAAACAAATGCATTTCAAAAACAACTACAAAAAAAACTTTTTTGTTGGATAGTGAATAAAGCTTTTTCCGCTGTTTGCTGGCAAACTAAAAAAGAAAAGCTGAAGAATGATTAAAAACAGACAAAAAATAACCGAAATGAGGATTCTCCTTTTTCATGAAGTACAGATGCGTTGCTTCGTGAGTTAACATTCCCAAATAATTGAGCACGGCTGACCTACAAATGAACATATTTCAAGTGTGCACATCAAAAAGAATCACCTAGAAATGCTTCTGCAAAGAACGATAAAAATGTTTCTTGGTGATGAATCGTCAAAGTGGTATCGGCTTGTCATAAGAGAAAAGAAACGAATGAATTTAACGGAAAGTAATCGCACCTTGAGCTCGGTACCATTGATAGTACTTTTTCAGCTGGATCCACCAGATGTGAGGTGGACGTAGATGCCCAGAATGGACGCAGAGTACGATAAATTGAACTCGCATCTTCAGCTTTCGATGCAACACTATTGAAATCGGCGATCACGCGAACCTGAATCATTTCGTTTGATTTAATGATTTAATCATACATTCCTTTCCTTATTAAATTGCAGGTTCTGTTTTGATGTTAAAATAATATTTGTACTGTTTTCATTTCATTCTCAGCGTGTGCAAACGAATGAAATGACTGCGACTCAAAAAATACATTTGATCAAGTGAATAATCAGTTGCATGAATTTATTTGCTCACAAAAACAGAAATCAACATTTGAGAGGAAAAGCTCTCGTTCCTTAAGACACGACTGAATTGCTTCAGCTGATGG